TCCGGTGGTCGAGCTTGTGTGTGTTCCGCCAGAGGCTGACTTGGGGACGCCTGGGGCAGAGCAGCTGGGGTGCTGCTGGGCTGCTCCAGTAGCGCCGCTCTCCGTATACTATATATCAAAGCACATTTTGCATTTAAAAGTGATTTAATAAAGGTTTCTGGTAGCTATGGGCCAGATTTTCAAAGTATTGAGGTGCCAAAAAGATGCAGATAACCTCATGGGATTTTCATTGGCACTTAAGGCAGATGAGGTGCCTAACTCTCATTGAAATCTAATAAAGCTGAAATCAATAGGAACTGGAACCTAACTTCCTTTATTTTCTTTTGAAAATTCAAGTATGCACCAATCCACATTTTTACTTGCTTAAATATCTTCAAAGATACCAACACCTCCGTTTTTTAGCTTTAGATCCCATCATTTACTTGGTTTTTATGTGTAGGCTGGAAAAAACTCTCCTTTTTCTGCTCCCCAATGGTTTTTCAGCTTTAAATGAAATAGTCCCCATAGTTTCTCTAAAGTGACTAGCTAGACTGAACCAAAAAAAATTAAGGCAAAAACTTTGTATGCAACAAACTGAAAGTATTTACTTCACCAGCATTTGCTCCATTATAATGACTGAAAAGAGTATAGGTACTGGGGATGTGAAAGGTTAACCCGTTAATTGGAAAGCATCATCACCCTTAATGGCTAGCTGGTGACGGCAGAGGGTTGCTCCAGCATCAAGGGAGGCCTGCTGCAGACAGGGACTGCTGTGGTCACCCAGAGAGGCTTCTGTATGTTGCAGGCCCGGACCTGAGAAGCCCCTGCCTATGGCAGGGAGGCCACTTTAGCCCGGCCTCTGCAGGGTTTGAGGAGGGGGAGCACAACAGCTAGAGGGACCCTGCCATGTCCCCTTTAATCAGTTAAACATGAGGTCTCACCAGTTAACCAATAAAATAAGATTTTACATTCCTAAAGGTAATTAATGTGGTGCATGGCACTGAGATGTTACTTAAGGCTTGAGTCAACATGAAAAATTAATATTTTCATATTGATTTTTGGATATGTAGTCCCCTTATTAAAGGGGCCTCTGACTGTTTCTGGGAGGCTCCTTTGTGCTGCAATCTAGCACTAGAGACTACAGCTCCCATGAGCCCTTGAGGATGACAGAGGAAGCGGGTCTTGTCTGGGCGTGTTGGGAGAGGTGCTCTCAATTTTGGGGACATAGCTAGGCTGCTCTGGAGGGGCCTTATCCGGTCCAGGAGCTGTTGTGTTGCAGCTACAGCTTGGGAGTGAGAGCCTGCAGGGCTTGGATCTAGCAGGCTGTTTCAGAGGTTGCTGATAGCCCTAGAGGGGAGAGACTCTGGTTGTGCCTGTGGCTGAGAAGGACTACAAAAACCGGCACACAGGAGGAGGCTGTGAGTAAATGGGCTCTTTAAAAAAGTACTGCCTGGGACAGACCTCAGAGAGAGAGAGAGAGACACTAACTCTGGGTCCAAAGAAGGGCAGAGTGTCCAGCCCAGTGAACCAGAGCTGCTGGTATTTGATGGAGCCTGCTCCAGTGGCAGAGAGATTTTGCAGCTGGCTGCTTAGCTTGGACTAACACACACAGGACCTGCACAGGGCTGTCTCCATTCCAGCTGCAGACCTTCAAGCGCATCCACGCAAGCGTCTGGGACTCTGACTCCAGAGGAGTGCACGCTCTGGGGTGGGATAAGTGGCGTCAGGGCAAATGCGCGATAGATGCATTCCCTTTCCTTCAGTGTACTTGATTAATTGTATTCACTGTTAAGCTGTTAAACCCTGTTTTCTTAATTAAGTAAAGGTGTGTTAATTCTGTGTAGTCAATTAGATGTATATTATTTATAATTGTTGTCCTGGGGTTAGATCCAGATTAGTGCTGGAATAATTTTATTCCTGGAGGCTCCCAAGGCACACCATTAAGTGTGTACAGGGCCAGCCAGGTGGAGATACCACCGTTGTCTATTCTTAGGGAGCAAGGAACTGCAGCAAGGGGGTGGACAGGGAATCCCCAACTAAACATCACCGCTGGGATACTCAGGATCTCCTTTTATGTTAAAAACATCAGGCCCCTGGCACACGTGTGTGACCTGCTCCTGAGTAACCCAAGGAGGAAAAAGGGGGTTACATATATAATTAGGAAAGCCCCTTTAATTAAAATTAGGGTTCATTAATGCAACATGATATTCAATTATGTAAATGATATTAATAGATGACAAATTAGATATTAGCACAGCTTTTTCATTTGTGGGGGTTTATTTTAAAAAATTAATTACCCCACGCCCATACACATACACTTATAAAATAGTTATCCAGGTGAATTTAATGTCCAGGAAGAATATCCGTTCAAACCATGTGATGTTAACAGATCATGTGATGTACTTGTATGTGCAATGTATGTGTATAGCCTTTATTAAACTGTAAGCTCTTTGGGATAGGGACTGTTGGCAGCACTTAATACAGTTTGGGAACTGTTTCTTTGCGAGGTTTTGAATGACTTGTCCATAACTTTAAGTGGGGTAAGGAGGCATTATAAAGTAAGATGACGTTGGATTCAAAAGGTAGATTCTACTGAAAATGTCTTGATCCTCAAACCCTTAACTTATAAGAGGTACAATATTGTGATATTTTTAGGTGTCATGTTTATTACAGATAATTTAGAAGTTTCTCCTAAGGTTAGAAAAGCATTTGTAACTTCCCTTTTAATCTTAGCAGTTGCCTAAAGTGACTATTTCTGAAATGCTTAGGAAAAGACTGGAGTATGAGATGACTGCAGAAAACAAAAGTACATTTCTTGGAGACCTTTACAGAACCTCTTTAAAATAAATGAAACTCACAAAGTGATGAATGCGTTTATACTTAACTGAGAAATATTTGGAGAAACATGCTCTTTGGATACTGTCATGGCTTGCTGAAGTATCAGCCTCAAAGATACTCCTAACATTGGATTTTTTTTTTACTGGGTGGCTGCCCGGGTGCACATCTTACAGGGAGCACTGTATGCAATCTTACATTCATGAGAGAAGTTGCCAGGCTTGGAGGATAGGTCTGGAGATGAAGTTAGCATGTGTGCTCTTGAGAAAGGAGTGGCCCAAGCAGAGCTGCTCCTTCACCTAATCTGCTGCTTCCACCTGATATTTTCTAAGAAGAAATGATGCCGTTCAAATTATCCATAGGTTGCAAAACCAGATTGGATCCTTATGCTAATGTAATCTAACCTTCTACAGAAAGTGGCCCATGTGTATCTCTTGTCTTTTCAGCCTAGGGCTGTTCTGCCTAGAAGAAATATTGGGACAGTTTGAAAATGTCCACTTGTTGCCAAGTGTGCACTGTCTGTTTAAAGTTTGTTGGCCTAGCCATTTCGTGTGATCATGACCTATCAAGGAATAAAGCAGTATGACAATGATGCATCCTGACCCGCAGTTGAAGTCCTGTCTGTGCATTCTAGTTGGAAATTAGACAGCTAAATGGCTTTTTTAGTAATAGACTATTGGAAAAATCTGTGTAGCTTAAGTAGCTTTTTCTTTTCCCCTCCCTAGATTATCCTCTTGATTTGAACCACAGTGAAACCTTTCTGCAAACCACAACTTTTCTTCCTGAAGATTTTACCTACTTTCCAAACCATACCTGTCCCGAGAGACTCCCTTCTATGAGTGAGTAGTGCTGTGACTCATTATCTTCCTCCCCTCCCTATCCTCCACCTCCATCCTGCCCCCTCCTTCCAGGTTACAATTTACAAAGAACCTTGTTTCCTATGGGAATGGGAGGAGGTAGGAAGAGCATTCTGTTTTGTTACAGGTTCACCATCCAAGTGTGGTGTACACTATAGCCTTTGGGAGGTAGGCAGCTATGCCAATAACTAGAATAGCCTCATCTCCCAGACCCACATGTGGGGGTATCTTCACTGCTTTATCTAACTGCTCCAGAGTCCTTGTTGTCTGTCCCTGCATGTTTTTGGATGATGTATTCTAATAATGTTTTTCTGCCTCCTGACTTGCGTCTTCTTTTTAATTATGTTAGATGGGTGGGGAATGAATAGAAATGCTGTTCTGCAAGCACAAATGCTGGAAGTCGTTGATTGGTTTTGGGAGTCTGGTAAACAATCTCTGTGAGACACTTTTCCTTTTAAATCAAGAATCCGTCACTTGGCAAATTTTAATCAAAAGGTTGCGCAACGTGAATCTCTGATGCTTGCTGGTCCTTCTGAGCATTAGTAGTGCCTGATAGGGAATGATAGAAATGCTTGCTCCTTACCTCTCTTTATGGAGGTTACTGCAATATTTGCCATCCTGGCCTAATCCGGAAAACAGAGCAGTGGAATACAATAAATGGGTCCTCCAAAACATCCTCTTAAAACGTCCTATTATGAATTTCACTGAGGTGTCTTTTTGTTGCGCAATTATCAGAAAATTATGACTGAGCTGCCATGTTGGGAAGGCTAATGCCAGTCAGGAAAGAATTGTTTCAAATGGGAAATTGGCTTTTGACAAAACAAAAGTTTTCTGTGAGAAGTGTCCTTCTGCTGAACTTTGATATTTTTTGTTGTTGAATCTCCATAATTTGTATTTGGAAATAAGGCACTGCAGCAGCATGTTCCCATTCTCTTCCGAAGGCTGGGCTCCCCGGTCAGATGACAACTTTTATTATGCACTACAACCAGGGTCTCCCGTGATGTACAGCCCCCTTTCAAGAGGGAAGATCATGGTACATCATGGGAGATGGTTTGACCAGGGAGCTAGTCTTATAGAGGGGAATGGGATCATGAGGTACTGTAACAACTTTCTCTGTTCAGTTTTTTGATACTAGACAGGAAAAGATACATTTTGCAATCAGCCCTAATGATAAGTGTGAGAAGTGAAATGCTCAGAAGCATGTACACTGTGATAGGCCCCCGAGACTGAAGTGTGTGGGAAACCTGAGATGCATCTTCTGTTGCTGAGACTGAAATATTGATCTCTTCTTTCCATTGTGTACACAGAGGGCCCAATTGATATAAATATGAGTGAAATCAGAATGGAGGATATCCATCAATTATTCTCAAAAGACCCAGCTATCAAGCTAGGAGGCCACTGGAAACCTGATGACTGCCTGCCTCGCTGGAAGGTAAACTATAGCCTCAAAACATCCATAGGCTACATTAAAATGTGATGCCATTGTTCAGTAAAAAGGAGTGCAAACAATTATACTGGCCAGAACTGGACTATAGTTACATTTTGCTGCTCCACAGAAAAATATCTTGATTTGCATCACAGATAATGTATGGATTTCTGTAACTTACCTAATTTTTGTCTAGCTACAGTAGTCCTCTATAAACCAGTAGCTTCAGGAGCCCATTAGCTAGTGACTGATGGATCAGCACTTCATTTCTTTTATAAAAAAGTTTTGGAGAGGACTGTGTGTTGCTAATGAAACATACCAGTTCAAATCCAGCTCAGCTGATGATGGCTGAAGTGTCTTGTGTGCAGATTATTTAGTGGCTTGCATAATTAGTTTCAGTCTAGTTCCTAGCTGACAAGCATCCAGATCACTAACTTTACCACTGATTTTGTGCAAGAATTAGCCCAGAAAAATAAAGGGTAACATGGACCTTGAAGACAATAAATGTATCTTGCGTGGAGGCACGTTAACAGTATACTATAGGACAGTGGTCACCAACCAGTAGATTGGGATCTACTGGTAGATCTTAGAGCCTCTGACAGGTGATCCTGACTGGTTTGACCAGGAAGCTAGGGAGTGCTGGTTCTTCATTTGCCCCTCCAACCATTTGTCATGATGCTCCTGCTCTCTACCTTGGAGCTGCCCCCCTGGATGCCTCCTGCTTGCTGTGCAGGCTGTGGGAGAGAGAATGGGGGCACTAATGTCAGGGTGTCCCTACTCACTCCACTTCTATACACTATCTCCACACAGACGGGGATGGAGGGAGCTTGGCAATGTAAATCTCTGTTGCTCTCACACCGTGTGTGTGTGTGTGTGTCTGTCTGTCTCATTCTCACAAACACACACTGTCCTTCACTCGTCTCCCAGCCCAACACGTATGTGGGGGGTTGTTCTTTTACTGCTTGCAAAGTGTGGTGTTTTTTGGTTTTTGACTGTCCCTGCCCTGAACCTCCTCCTACACTCAACCTCTTGCCCCAGATGTGAGTCCCCCTGCACTCCTTCCTAGAGCTTGAACCCTGAAACCCCTCCTAGACCCCAGTCCCCTGCTCTGGGCTAAGCCTGGAGCCCCTCCCACACTCCAAACGCCTTGACTCAAGAAGAGAGCCTGCACCGCAACCCCTTACCCCAGCCTAGGGATGTTAGATTTAGTTTAATCAACTAATCGACTAGTCGATGGATTTTCTGGGAAGTGTCTGGCTCTGCCTTTTAAATGGATTAAGAGTCTGTTGGCTCTTAATCCATTTAAAAGGCTAAAGCACAGCAGGGGATACCCAGTGTGAGCCAGAAATCAGCTGGCTCTTAATACATTTAATACCTACTTAATACCTGTCGGCTCTTAATACATTTAAAAAGCAGAGGCGCATCTGGGACTAGGCATGGGCTGAGAATCAGCTGATTCCTGGCTCGCACCCGGTCCTCGCTATCCCCTTGCCCCCCATGGAGTTGGTGCTGGGGAGAACTGCCTTTTAAGCCAGCTCCCTCCAGCACCGGCTGCTGCTTCTCATAGAGGCAGGAAAGTGGAGGAGGGAAGGGGAGCGACTAGTCCCTCAACTATCTGATAAGCTTTTGATTTATCAGATAGTCGATTAGTCACTTACATCCCTACCCCAGCCTTGTGAAAGTGAGTGAGGATGGGGGAGGAAGGGGGATGGAGTGAGTAGGGAGAAGCCTCAAAAGGAGTGGAGCAGAGGCAGGGCCTCAAAGAAGGGGCGGGAAAGAAGTGGTGTAAGGCTGTTTGGATTTGAAGTAGATTTTACATTGCACTTAAATTGAAAAAGTGATCTTGTAGTTAAAAAGGTTGGAGACCACTGCTATAGGAGAATCATGCTACCTTTTCAGTTGGTAGAGGATTTAAGTCTCTAGGGCAGTCAGTCTTTCAGCTCTGACTCAGCATGAAATTTAGGCCAGGTCTACACTAAAAGGGAAGGCTGACTCAAGATACACAACTCCAGTTACATTAAGTAGCTGGAGTCACTTGTTTTGTGTTTCCCTATCATCCCTATAGCAGGAGGCTGACAGGACCAAATGTTCTCTTTGGCTTCCCTTCTCACAGAAGCAGGAATACTAGCTGCTGACAGGGGCACCCTCTGAGTTCAATTTAGTGGGTCTTAACTACACCCACTATATTAAACTCCAGAAGGTTGATCGTGGCAGCATCAATCTTCCATTTAATGAAGACATGGCCTTAGGTAAGGTTTGAAAGAAATTTCCTCTCTCCAAAACAGTATATATTTAAAAAAGCTAGAATACTATAAAGCACAAAATAAGGAAGACATGAGTGAATGGCTAACACAATTGTGTACTCCATGTAGCACTGTAAAACAATCTTACAAAGTGGTTCTTACCCACCAAAGCTTATGCCTAAATAAATCAGTTAGTCTTTAAGGTGCCACGAGACTCCTTGTTTTTATAAAACAATCCTGCATGGCAGCCCCAAGAAAAGAGTTAGATTGTCTGTGGTCCTCTGGTTGTAAACACACATACATATGACTTCAGGTACTCTGAGCCCTGAGCTGATGGTTTGAGGCTGCTAAAGTGAAGGATGGATTCCTGATGTAGTAATAACTACCTGATGTCTTCCATCTCGTAGGTGGCAATCTTGATACCATTCCGCAATCGCTATGAGCATCTTCCAGTTCTCTTCAGGCACCTTATTCCAATGCTGCAGCGCCAACGTTTACAGTTCGCATTTTATGTCATTGAGCAAGTGAGTCACTTCCCATGCTTATGCAACTTATTTGGAGGGGCTAATCCATCACCAGTGGAGAAACTTGCTGTTGTGTGTCTGATTGCTGTGCAATTAATCCTATGTATACAAGACAATTTGCTACCTTCTGCCCTCAGTTATTGCACAATAATGGAAAATCTCCAAGGTGTGCCCTGTGTTTGTTTTTGTTTGTTAGGCAGATAACATACTGTAGGCTTTCAAAGGTTACTGTCGAACATGGCTATGTGTTCAATATCTACTTTCTCATAATACGCCATTCACCTGAATGTCATGTTGGATGCAGACACTGCCTGAAAGCTTCTGGGAAATTAAAGTGTCTTAGAATAAATTATGGTTGTTTAGCGCACATATCTATTGTTAAACCAGGACAAAAGGGTTACAAAAGCAGGAATCTAAAGGGTTTTGTTCCTTGAATTTGTGTAAGAAGGCCCTGAGAATAATAACCGCCTTCCAAACATGTGGGGTGGGTGGGTGTGTGGGTGTGGGTGTGTACATTTTAAATATATATTGTATCTTGAGCTTCTCCTGAGAAATAACTCTTATTTCCTAGGCTGGTAATCAACCATTCAATCGTGCCATGCTCTTCAATATTGGCTTTCAGGAAGCAATGAAGGACTTGGACTGGGATTGTCTGATCTTTCATGATGTGGACCATATACCAGAAAATGACCGTAACTACTATGGATGTGGCCAGATGCCAAGACACTTTGCAGCCAAGCTGGATAAATATATGTATCTGTAAGCATCTATATTCTCCCTTTATATAATAATGGATAAAGAGCAATAACTAGCTTTTAACTAGATGAATTTCAGTTTGGCTTCCAGGTTTTGTGCAACTAAACATAGCAGAAATAGAGGCAAACAACCCAACAACTCAAGGCTTAATTCAGTCGCATCTAGGAGAATGGCTGCTCTGACAGACAGTGAGCAGGCAACTGCATCAGCCCTGACGTGTGATGCCGTTTACATAGGTTTGACTAATGCACTCTCTTTTATTTAGGCTCCCTTATAATGAGTTCTTTGGTGGAGTGAGTGGTTTAACAGTGGAACAGTTTCAGAAAATCAATGGCTTTCCTAATGCATTCTGGGGCTGGGGCGGAGAGGATGACGACCTTTGGAACAGGTACTGATGTGTGTCTTGGCTTGAGCCCCCTTCCCAAGGGATGGGGGGGCGGTGGGCGGTGGACTGTCGGAGACCACTATGCAAAAGATAGCAGGGGTGGACAGGCTGAGGCCACTTCCCAAGGGATGGGGAGTGGATGGGCTTCCATGCAAACTTCCAAATGGTATGATTCTTCTGTTCATTGATGGGTTCTCGTAGGACTGTCTAACTCCCAACACCTGATGAATGTGGTACAAACTGTCTTTATTGACAATATGATAGTGGCTGGCCTGGTACAGGAATGTGCTGGCATAAGGGTTGGGAATGTATTTCCTTGTGCATGCAGTGCCCGCGCCCAGCTTCTTGACTGTGGAATCTCCTCAGGGTTTTGCTGGCCATATTCTGAGTGGGAGAAAAATAGCATGGGTGCTCTACCTGCTGCTGTGAACAGGCGCTAAGCCTGTCCTCTTAAAGCCTTAATTTTAAGCAGCTTGCAGACATCTCCAGCCTTGCCCTTGCCTGAAGAGGGCTTTACGCAGAGAGTGTGGATTGATGCTGGAGCTATTCCATACCCTCTTCAGATGCGGGAGGAGAGGGAAAAGGGAAGACAATTAACCCCCTTTAGGCTGTGCTGGTAAATGGAAAGACTGAGGTTTGATTCCAATCTGTTAAAGCAAATTTGATTGGAAGCTCCTAGCTACCAGAGAATGAGGGGAAACAGTTCTCGCCATAAGCAACTTTGTGAAATTGTTGGCCCTGGGAATTATTTCTTATGTTGATGTTCATCTGAGGATCAGTTTGACTGCTCATCTAAAACTTACTGAAAGCAGCTTAGTTGGCCCAAAACCTGAAGGGGTTTAAATCTTCCCACTCTATTTAGCCAGCTGATGGAAACGCGTACTTATTGCAGACAAGTTTTTTGCAGCTCATGATTGTTCAGTCTCAGCAAGTATTGAATTTGGAGCAAACGCAGCAGTCACTCTGATCTTTGTAATACAGGGTGCAGTATGCAGGCTACTCGGTGACTCGACCAGAAGGAGACACGGGGAAATACAAGTCAATTCCGCACCATCATCGAGGCGAAGTACAGTTCCTGGGAAGGTAAATGAGATTTTCATTACTGGAGATTCATTTTACACTGAAGGATCCCTAAATCATCATGCCACTATATAAATCCACTATGTGGCTACACCTTGAATGAGTGGTGGGCAAAATATGTCGCACAGGCTGGATCAGGCTTGGCAGCATCCCGCAGCCCAGGAGAGCCTCAGGGAGGGAGCCTGCCTTAGGGTGCTGCTGGCTGGGGCTGATTAGATAATCAACTTTTTCCCACAACCCCTCTGCCCCCCCTCCAGAACTCCTGCCCCAGGTCACAACCCCCTCCTGCAGCCCTTCTCCAAGTCAAAATCCTCTCCTACACCCATACTCCCTCCTAGACCCCTACACCCCTATCCCCTGCTTCAAGTTACAACCTCCTTCTGTGTGCGGTCACAACCCAACCCCCTGTACCCTGCCCCAGGTCAAAACCCCCTCCCAGACCTTGCACCCCCTCCTGCATCCCTCCATCACGTCAGAATCTTCTCCTGCACCCATGCCCTCTCCTGGACTCTACACCCCATTCTCCTGCTCCAGGGCATAACCCTCCCCCCTTTCACTGAACCTCCCTTCCAGACTCCACATCCCCTCACCTCACCCAAGTTCCCTACCCTGAGCTCCCTTCTGTATCTAGCCTCCAATCCAGGTCCTGCACCTCCTGCATTAATACCATGGAAGTGTGTGGCCCATGATCACTTACCAAATTCTTGGAGTAGCGCCCTCCCCCCAAAAAATTATTGCCCATCTTTGCCTTGAATACGGAGTCCAGTAAAAAACAGGAAAAAGTTGTCAAAAATGATCAAAGATATGGAACCGCTTCCATAGAAGGAAAGACTAAGAAGACTGGGACTGTTCAGCTTAGAAAAGAGATGACTATGGGGGGGATATGATAGAGGTCTATAAAATCATAAATGGGTGGAGAAAGTGAATAGAGAAGTGTTACTTAACTTTTCACACTATGCAAAAACCAGGTGCCACCTAATTAATAGGTTGCCAGTTTAATACAAACAAAAGGAAGCACTTTTTCACACAATGCACAGCTAACCTGAGGAACTCATTGCCATGAGATGTGGTGATGGCCAAAAGTGTAACAGGGTTTAAAAAAGAATTGAGTAAATTCATGGAAAAGGTTCAAGAATAACTGTTAAGCAAGATGGTCAGGGACCCAGTCCTGTGCTTGGGGTGACCCTGATCTTCTGACTACCAGAACCTGGAAGTGGTAGACAAGGGTTGTTGTTTTCCCAAAAGAGCAAGTTTTACTTATGACATGCTCTGTCCTTGTTACTATTAGACCTTTTTTGAGTGATTTCAAACTTTTGCATTTGCATCTTGCAGGTGGCTTCCATTGCAAAAGCAATATGTCTTTGTCTCCTGCTTCGTAGCACTTTTGCTCCATTTTTGTTTGAGGTGAAATAAAACCTTAACGGCGTCTTCCAGGTTTTTCATTTTCCTAGAGTAAAAATCCAGCTGACAACAAGCTCAGAGAGCTGTTTCTGGATATGTAAATGTACCACATGCTGTCCCCTATTTTCCAGAGGAACCTCAGGGGAAATACAAGTGAGAAGTATGGAATGGCACCAAAGAGCTAGTTTAACAGAACCAGTGGGAACGATTTATTTGTGAACAATTACATGACTTAGCACCTCACAACCTACAACTGTTTGTTTCAAATGACAAGTGGATATAAATTGTATTCTCCATTACTAATTCCAGAAGAGAAACTGCTAGGAGAGGTCTCTGAGAAACTCCCAAAGCTCATCCTGCTAATACTTTTTGAATTAACTGTAAATTCAAGCAGGGAATGAACCAGTAGTTCATTAAGCTCTTGGCCTCTTTCCAGTTCTCCTAGCTTCCATTTGTGATGCAGATAAAAATCTTTATATCTAGCTTTCATTTTACTACCAAACAGATTATGATGAAGAAATTGCTATCATTTTAATTCTCTGTAGTTGAACCAAGGAGGTCAATTTCAGGGAAGAAGGTCACCATTGTTTAGTTTCTCTTAAGTATCAAAGGACTACACTGCAATGGAAACGAGAGCTTTAGATTTGCCTCCTTTATTTAATCAGGTCTGGAATTTTGTAGGCTGATGGTCAGCATGATCCAGTGAAAATGCTGTCACTTATTTGGCAACAGTCACTTGTGGTGCATTACTACATGATAGTGATTTCAGAGGATTTTGAAGCCGTCTGATTTTTTTTTTAAGCCTCTCCACTTGCAATATCCCCAACTATCAAATCAGAGCATGACATAGCAGCCCACCTCTGACTGTAAAGCTTGCAGTGACAAATGGTATGGGCTACCTGACATAATTCAAAGGCTTTGAACTAACCCTTTCCTTTTTTTCCCTATTTTTGTGCTGGACTAGGACTTTGTCTGGGATAGGGTCTGGTTTAGAGCCATCTGTGTATTTCCTCAAGGGTGCTTCCTAGTGTAGATGGGCCAAAGCTGGTATTTCCCTCGTGCAACTTATCCCTGCTTTTCATTGATGTCACTGGCGTAAACAACTTTGTCTGGATGCAAAGCCCCCACCGTAGTGTGCGGCTACACTGAGGGAGCAAACAGGGTGCACCCCCAGTCTGGACAAACTCTAGTGATGGATATATTATTGAGAACAATTCTCCATTCTCCTGTGTCTCTTCTGTCTCTGACTTGTGACTTTAAGACTCTTTGCTTTTGTCTTCCTTGTCTCTGACCATTTTTTTTCTTACCTTACTGATAGCTCTTTCAGTGGGTTGTTTCCTCCCATCTCTCTTGCTTCCTGTATCTGCTCATGTAATTTCAGAGCCCTGAGCTGATGAACCTCCAACTTCCTCATATCTCTGCCTATCTCACAGCTTCTTCTGGATCCCCCTATTTCTCTAATTGACATAAGAACATAAGAACGGCCATACTGGGTCAGACCAAAGGTCCATCCAGCCCAGTATCCTGTCTGCCAACAGTGGCCAATGCCAGGTGCCCCAGAGGGAATGAAACGAACAGGTAATGATCAAGCGATCTCTCTCCTGCCGTCCGTCTCCACCCTCTGACAGAGGCTGGGGACACCATTCCTTACCCATACTGGCTAATAGCCATTTATGGACTTAACCTCCATGATTTTATCTAGTTCTCTTTTAACCCCTGTTATAGTCCTGTCCTTCACAGCCTCCTCAGGCAAGGAGTTCCACAGGTTGACTATGCGCTGTGTGAAGAACAACTTCCTTTTATTTGTTTTAAACCTGCTGCCCATTAATTTCATTTGGTGGCCCCTAGTTCTTATATTATGGGAACAAGTAACTAACTTTTCCTTAATCGCTTTCTCCACACCACTCATGATTTTATAGACCTCTATCATATCCCCCTCTTAGTTTCCTCTTTTCCAAGCTGAAAAGTCCCAGTCTCTTTAATCTCTCCTCATATGGGACCCATTCCAAACCCCTAATCATTTTAGTTGCTGTTCTCTGAACCTTTTCTAATGCCAGTATATCTCTTTTTTGAGATGAGGAGACCACATCTGTACGTAATATTCCAGATGTGGGCATACCATGGATTTATATAAGGGCAATAAGATATTCTCATCTTATTTTCTATCCCTTTTTTTAATGATTCCTAACATCCTGTTTTCTTTTTTGACTGCTGCTGCACACTGCGTGGACATCTTCAGAGAACTATCCACTATGATTCCAAGATCTCTTACAAAATTAGTTGTAGCTAAATTAGCACCCATCATATTATATGTATAGTTGGTTATTTTTCCCAAAGTGCATTACTTTACATTTACCCACATTCAATTTCATTTGCCATTTTGTTGCTCAGTCGCTTAGTTTGGTGAGATCTTTTCGAAGTTCTTCACAGTCTGCTTTGGTCTTAACTACCTTGAGCAGTTTAGTATTGTCTGCAAACTTTGCCACCTAACTATTTACCCCTTTTTCCAGATCATTTATGAATAAGTTGAATAGGATTGGTCCTAGGACTGACCCTTGGGGAACACCACTAGTTACCCTATTCTGAAAATGTACCATTTATTCCTACACTTTGTTTCCTGTCTTTTAGCCAGTTCTCAGTCCATGAAAGGATCTTCCCTCTTATCCCATGACAACTTAATTTATGTAAGACCCTTTGGTGAGGGACCTTGTCAAAGGCTTTCTGGAAATCTAAGTACACTGTTTCTACTGGATCCCCCTTGTCCACATGTTTGACCCCTTCAAAGAACTCTAATAGATTAGTAAGACATGATTTCCCTTTACAGAAACCATGTTGACTTTTGCCCCCAAAATTATGTTCTTCTATGTGTCTGAGAATTTTATTCTTTACTATTGTTTCAACTAATTTGTCCAGTACTGACGTTAGACTTACCGGTGTGTAATTGCCGGGATCGTCTCTAGAGCCCTTTTTAAATATTGGCGTTACGTTAGCTATCTTCCAGTTGTTGGGTACAGAAGCTGATTTAAAGGATAGGTTACAAACCATAGTAAATAGTTCCGCAATTTCACATTTGAGTTCTTTCAGAACTCCTGGGTGAATGCCATCCAGTCCCAGTGACTTGTTACTGTTAATTGATAAACTTAATTCCAAAACCTTCTCTAATGACATTTCAATGTGAGACAATTCCTCAGATTTGTCACCTACAAAGGACGGGTCAGGTTTGGGAATCAACCTAACATCCTCAGCCGTGAAGACTGAAGCAAAGAATTCATTTAGTTTCTCCGCAATGACTTTATCCTTTTTAAGTGCTCCTTTTGTATCTCTATCATCCAGGGGCCTCACTGGCTGCTTAGCAGGCTTTCTGCTTCTGATGCACTTAACAAACATTTTGTTATTACCTTTGGAGTTTTTGGCTAGCTGTTCTTCAAACTCCTTTTTAGCTTTTCTTCTCCAATTGATCAAATGGAACTTCACTTCCCTGAATGTTGTCCTAACTGACACACTCTTAGGCCACATCTCCACTTTCTGGAGGATCAACACTCTGGCGATCAATCTTCTGGGATTCAAGTTAGAGGATCTAATGAAGATCCGCTAAATTGAACACTGATGGATTCCCCTTTGGTGTCAGTACTCTTCACTGTCACAAGGCGTAAGGAAAGTCAATAGGAGCATTTCTCCCATTGACCTCCCGCTGTGGAGACCGCACCAAACTCGGCTTAAGGTATGTTGACTCCAGCTGTGTTTACGTAGCTAGAGTTGCTTACCTTATTAAGCCAACCTTCCCCCCGTAGTGTAGACCTGGCCGTAGTCTATTCAGGCCGTCCAGCTCAGGCCTTGAGCTGATTGGGTGCGGGGAATTGACAATCTCTTGCCAGATCTTTGTTGCTACTTCTCCCTCTGCTCTGTCCTTTCTGTCTCCAGTGCTATAACTGTATCATATGCCAGTGTGTTTCTCCTGCTTGGGCTACTGTAATCTCTTCCATTCTGGACTCTCTCCTTTCCCTTTTTCAATGTATCCAGCAAGCTACAGATAAAACTCTTCCTGCTGCTTTGCTTCCGTGTTCCTTGACTAATTTAATCTTTTGTGGACTGAGTTCAAAGTCTTCATGCTTTACTTTAACATCCTGGAAAAGCATTAACAATTGTGAAACAGCTAGATACTATAAGAATGAGGGCTACGCAAGTACCAAAGAACCTACCTGGCCTGTATGTTTGCACCTTTCCTTCTCACACAATGTGCTGTGTATCTTTATGATGCTCTTCCATGTTGCCTCCAACCCCGAAATGAAGGGCCAAGAACCTTTTCTCTTCACTGCCTCAAATCCGGTTTTTCTGACTGATTTCCTGCCCCACTGCCTTTACTCCAGTTCTCTTTGCTTCAAGTTCTTGGGAATGGTTTTATTTTGGCAAAAATTAAAACAAATAACAATCTTTTACATCCCTCATGCCCCCCTCCTTTCATCTGTCTCAGATGATCAATTCTCCTGGACAGAGGCATTGGGGATGTAAAATCCAGTTTAATTAGTTAACCAATTAAACATAATGTTTAAGCAGTTAACCGATTAAACAGGGGTGGGCAGAGGGCTTGCTGTGCCAGGCTGGCGTTGCCTCCTTCTCTCCCCCTCTCTCCCAATGGTGATACTTACTGGTTAACTGTTAACCGGTATTCACATCCCTAAAAGGCATGCTTTACTTTTGTATAGAGGCATGCGGAAAACACGCTAAGGTCATTCAGCTCTTTCATGTCAACACTTGACAGTTTTGAGGAAGGAAGTTATCAATTCTTGTTTGAGTGTGGAGTTTGACTCAACTGTGCTAGCTCGACACAGGGAACATACGAGCCTAGAAAAATAACACGGGTCTGATCCTGTGCTAGGCATCGCTTCTAACAGTGGATCAGCATTTTATTTCTACAAAGTGCACTACATATTTACATGTCTAAATGCTGGAGCTGCTTCAGTAAAAATATTTAAGGGGGTCTGTGTTGAGGAGGATTTTCTCACGTTAGTTTTTTCTTGTTGGGACTGGACTGTGTATAGTGGCACTCAGCCTAAATTTGTTGAGTTTGGAATGGATGCATCCATCTTTTGTTCTCTTTAAACAGGTATGCATTGCTGCGGAAGTCAAAAGAGAGGCAAGTCCTGGATGGTCTCAATAACTTGAACTACTTTCCAAACATTACGTGTGACGCCTTGTATAAAAACGTAACTGTTAACCTGACTCCAGAGCTGGCTCTGGTAAATGAAAACTGAGAAGAGACAATAAGTTTGCTTTGCTCTTTGCCAAGAAAGCAACATGTTAGACATTCTTTTGTAGGTTTACCAAGGACAAGAAATATATTGTCTAATGAAGGATCACAGTATTTTGAAGAATAAAATTGAAAGAATACACACAAATCGCCTGTCCCAATCTGATTGTGCAGCAAGCTCGGGGACTTCACTCGCCTTCCGATTTTAAGGACAATGGTGTGACCTGTTGCTCTCATCTCTGCATTCCGTCTCCTCCAACAATCACAAACACCGCAACAGTGATCTGATGTGCTTTCTTCTTACGGAACCAGTTTGGCTGAACAACTCTGACTTCTTGAGTTTGGATGCCAGAAGCAATCCACTAGGCAACTCCCCTAATCGGAGATCAAGTGAAACTTAAAATGATACCATTCTTCTACCTGTATGTGTTCTGTTTTTTTTAAAATGACCTGCTTGAAGTATATACAACAAAATCGCTTCTTAAAGAAGTGTAAGTGTAAATAAGCTGTGTAAAATGCCTCTTTTTAATTTTCTTTTACAATTAAAACTCAAGCTAAAGGTTTACATATTAGGATCACTTATATAGACCCCAATCCTGCAAACATGTACATAATTTTACTCGTGAGCAGGTCTCTCTGCTCATGTAAGTATTTCCTGTGATATAAAGCTAAAGCACTTGCTGAAGTGTTTGCAGCATCTGGGTCTGCGTTAGTTGGTTGCTGGGTTCCAGAAATAAGAGCCACATCATTGCTTATTATGGAAATGGAGGGGGCTTTTGGGGAGAAGGGAAGGATAATGGAAACCTCATGAAAGTACAAAATATCCAGCTCATATCATTGTATGAGAGGGAATGTGTAAATTATAGTTCTTATGGAGTTTTTCCATTTTATTCCTGTTAGGTTTTCATTGTCCGTTGCTTAGATTCTAGACTAATTCAGATGCATCCCTTCCTCTTCTCCCCTTCCCTCTACAAAATTCACCAGTAGGCTCATGTGGTTTCCATGCAAAAAATTGCAAAAATCTTACTTTCCCTCATCTGTCACTGTCTTTAGTTTTGGGCAGTCAGTTGCGGTTTATTAAATCTGCTCCCAAATTAACAATGTTCTACAGTGATTCCTCTAATGTAACATTTTTGTTCTATGAAATAGTATTTTGATATATTTATTGTGGAAATTGAACAGTACACTGAACTAATGTACATTCTAATTGTAGGCAGAATCCTTGGTTATTTTTCTTAGCCAGAGCAAGCATTGCACAAGTACAAATAGAGAGCTAGATTTATCCACAGATATAAAATCAGAATGAGGAAAAAATGAAGGGCATTCTATTTCGGAAAACACTGTAGTGCTTGGTTGATATCCCCATTTTCACATGTTCAGATTTTTTTCTGAACTGTCCTCCCTGGATTGTGCCTGTGTTTTGTTTTGTTTTCCCTCCTTGGTTTAAAATGATCCATCACCTACGCAGTATATACAAACTCACTTTTACTGGATTTCTATCTAGTAAAAGTGTTCTGGGTTGCTTTTTTATATGTCTATTTATAAAGATTGTGAGTATTTCAGCTCAGAAGTTCTTTAACTTTCCTTTATTGCATTGTTTGCCTTCTGTTTCCTGAACTCTTATGGTTTACATTGTTTTCTTGGTTCCATGGACATATGATCCCCATACACATCTGTTGTGGGTGTGATTGACCAGGCCTCTTGTCTCTTGAGAGTAACTTAGTTTAGAAAACATGGAGTTCTTGTTGTGTAGATCTTATCAGTTATCAGCCTGCATGAGAGGACAGTATATCTGCCCTTGAAAGTGCTGGTAAGTTTGGTAATTTAGGTTTAAAGTCTTGGAATACATGTGCTTTACAAATGTTTCCTGACATTTATAGTTTGGTTAATATGGCACATATAGCAATAAAAGACTCTCTTGCTTCTGATTCTTGATCTCTGTAATTCTTGTGGATCCTTTTCAAATGTTGAACTTCACTCTCCCTCTTATTTCTTTAATCTTGAAACGTTGTTAGCAACTGATGTCTTTAATGGTGCTTTAAACAAGGAATGTATTTCAAATGGTCTAAATTCACAACCACAGGAATTGTGCATGCATATGTGAGTAGATGTTAGGCTGTATTTTAGTTTGGCTAAGTCCTTAATATATATTTGCCATCTCTTGTGCCCTCTATTTTGAACAAAAAAGGCATTACCTCTACTCAGAAATGCACTCATTTAAGGTTGACCTGAAAGTGCCCGTTTCACACCTAATCTGTTTCACTTTTTGCATTTGTGGGTTTTTTTGGGGGGGGAGGGGTCAGTCAGGTTGAGTTTTTCCCTCTCTCTAAAATGTGGAATATCTTAAAATGTGCACTGTTAATCTTATCAGCTAAGTCAAATACTGTATAGAAATGTAATTGTTAAAACATTTTGTCAAGTGCATGTGCTGTTTTATGGTGTAAAAATTCTCATAGTAAAAAGAACTGTACATATACTGGCAGCTGCAATTCAACAAGGCCACTTGTGCCCCCCTTGTACATCAACATTGTCTACTAAACTTACTGGGGGTCGGGGCATGTTCAATGCTGATTTTAACAAGCCATGTGGGATTTTATTTGCTACAATATTTATTTAAAGTTCATTATTTTTTTAAAGCTCCTCTTCTATAAAGAATTTAACAATGGAGCAACAGCCACACACTTCTAGTCACTCACTGTCCACGGTAGAATTAAATCTTAGATAGTATACATCCATCATCATGGCTTTTGAACTTCTCTTAAGTTTTTAAGAGGTGCCAGGTACATGTTTGCACTGAAACGTAGTGTTTTAAGAGACACACACAACTTTTTTCAGCAGAGCAATCCTTTGTATCATTACATTTATTTACCCATGTGTTTGTACATTTTTGTATTTAATTTATGAATGATTTTTCAGTAAAAAAAATACATATTCAAGAACCAAGAAACTGCAGTGAAGTCTCTTATGGTGTGTGCTTTTTGGGAGGGGAAGTGGCTTGTGGTTTGTCTGATGAGGGGTGTAGAGAAAAGGAGGTATCTGTACCTTGAATAGTAAGTCTTTAGAACAGAGCACAATGTCAGCAAAAAGAAAAAAGCACTTGAGGGTCCACCCTGTCATCTGCCTTTGGGTATGGAGTCCAACATTGTTTTCATTGCAGTGGCATGTAGAGGCATCATTGCATTGTGCAAACACATAATCAAAACGGTCACTGCCTGTGAGATCTTAAATATCAATTCCAGATAAAACACCAGAGGATGCAATACACATTAGGGAAGCATAGGTAACAGTGAAATAACTAGTGCACCAGCACATCAGCTGCTTAGCCATTCCCACAGGCATCCTTTCTTTTGCTCAACAGCAGTAGCCCTTCTCTGAAGCACAGGACTTGACAAACGGCGGCGAAAACCGCTCGCCAGCCCCGTATTGCGTATGTGCAAGAGCCGCATTGCGCATGCACGTGCCGCAAATGAATGGGACGCGCGGCTGAAATCTATTCGCTACGGGAGATTAGATGTCGAGCCCTGCTGAAGCAAAGGGAAGGGAAAACCAGGCTGCTTGGGACTCAAAGAAAAAGGAGATTCTCTCTGCCTTTTTCCTATTCAAATGCAGCAGTTGTAAGTGGGAATGACATATGCATGCCAACTCACAATGTTCCCTCTAATCTGTTCCATCCAGGTGCAGAATAAATTTTATGTGCACTGAGGCATGTGCCACTGTGCACCGCCAGTAGAAACAAAAACCTATCTCTGGGCACTCTAATTAGCTGGGTGGCATTCAAATCTTTCCTGAGCAGCTGCCTGAGGAACAGGGAACATAGCCAGGTTGCCAATCAGAAGGTTAGCACTCTGGCTTAGATTTGGGTGATGTTCACTGATGAACTGAGTTTAGTATTTAGTGATTTGTGGGTAGATACCTATGTCAACTGGCTATCCCAACCCACCCTGGCATGAGGCAACTGACTGAACCCCCTCTTGTAAGAGAGGTAGCTGTGATAGAATAGGACTGAAGCACGTTGGAGAGGGACGCTATGGGGCAGTTTCTCATGTCTGGGTATGGAAAATATGTTTCACACCTCTCCCGAGCATTCAGTTTTGCTCTTTTCTTAAAGGGGGAAGCTCTTCAAGATGGATTTTTGCCCTCCCCATGTTGGAGCTGGATTCATCCACTGCTGCAGAATGTCCCAGAGACTACTCAGCTGAACCTTTGTCTACTCGCGCCCATAGTGCTCAGCTCTCTTAACTGCTGGGGAAAGAGCAGACTGCGTTTGTCAGAGCTGGCACCTCAGTGTATCTTTCTGAGCGAGCTTGTGTTGGACAGTAATTATGCATCACATGCACTCTTGGAGGGAACTTTGAGGGCAGAGTTGAAGTGACATGGCGAAAGCTACAGAGGGAATATCCCAGAACTCAGGTCATACTTGCGGTTCCTGTCTCTTTCCTGTGCTTTTTATATGCTCTGATGCAGGGTGTGTGCAGATGGTCTGGGCAGGTCCCTGGTGTGTCATGCATAAGGAGTTAACCTGATTAGGCAATCTAGCAGTAACAGGTGTTCTAGAGATTGTATTAGCTCAGAACTGTACAAGGCTTCATTGTCTCTTTCACAAGATGCCGTCTGCATCTGCTGAGGGGGATGTGGCCTTCAATATTAGCAGAGTTAAAGCTGAAACAATAGACAGGACTATGCAGCACTTTAAAGACTAACAAGATGGTTTATTAGGTGATGAGCTTTCATGGGCGAGACCCACTTCCTCAAATCAAAGTTAAAGGTTAACCTTGGATAGCCAGTTAAAGGTTATACTTAATGTATTTGATATGCACATGTGAGTTCTTTAAGACTCAGGCTCTTAGGCTGCAGCTGAAATTGACCTCTCACTGCTTTGGATGAGAACAGCTTTGTATGGGTGGGTTCTTGCCATATTGTAGGGATGTTTGATTAATTCAATAATTGCGTAACCGCACCAAATCTTAGCAGTTACACAATTATTCTATAGTCCCCGGGGCGGAGGCAGCAGCCAGTGTGCTCCTGCCACCTCTCCTGAGGAGCCCCTTGTCACCCTGCACTGCTGCCTCCAATACAGAGGCAGGAGCACGGGGCAGCGGCATCTTATGTCCACAGGGGGCTATGAGCTCCCCACAGACAGGAGCTGCTCTGCCATCCCATGGAGCAGCCTCTCTCTGCAGTGAGCCCAGGGCCAGCACAGACAGAGGCTGGTGCTTCAGAGGAACCCCGTCACCAACCCTCTCCCTCCCGCCCGCCCCCCCCACCCCATATGCTGCTGCTGAAACAGAGACAGCAGCACAGCAGGAAGGCAGCTCCATGGAGCTCCAGCTTCTGGGAGGCAGCAAGGTGGAGGCAGGCACATGTGGAGAGACATCTTAAAAGCCAGCTTCCCATGAATATCAGCTCCTGCCTGCCCTCCTCCCCCGCACTGCTGCCTCTGATACAGGCTTTTTGGCTAATCATTTATACAACTGTATGCTAACATTCATATCCTATTGTCCCAATTTTAGTGTCGGCTGAAATTTGAGATTAAAATAAAAAGTGTGGTGGGATTTATCCTCCATTCCCTAAACTGGCTGCAGTCCTCTGTTCAGAGGGAGGAGTGAGATCAGTTTGAATTTGCAAACCGGGACATGTATCTCGGGTTTCTTTGTGCTTTCAAGGCCTCAAGTGCCAACACACTGGAATAAACAGCTGACATCTTAGTTTCAAGCCAGAATCCTGCCTTCTCCTTTGTATGATGTTGTGTGCGCAATGCACTCAAGTTTCACCTATGGCAGGAAGCTACCCTCCTCAGGAGCCTATGCATATATCACACTGCTTCCCTGAGGCCTTCCGCTTTCCAGGAGTGAGGAACGCACTTGTAGATTCCCTCAAGGGTTTTCTTTAACACAAGAGGTCAATTAGGAAGGCTTAAGACAGTGTCAGCTTTTTGCCTGGACCAAATTATTCATTTGCTTCTGGTTTTTTTTTTTTTTTTTCCTGAAACCCCATTCCCCTAACGCTGAAGAAACGCTTCATGTCTTGGTTGTTTGTAGAGCTTTGGCATTCTACCTGGATTGCACAAGGCCTTTCAGGACTTGTCCCAGGCTTTTCACAGCCTGTGCTGAGAGAATAAGCTGTCAACCAATGTCAGCTTGGAAAAATCTCACATTGGATTTTGGCTGCATTAAGCTCTGCTACAAACTTGGTAACGTCTCTCCTACATCTAGAATAAAAGGCTCCATCCACGTCAACCTTCATCCAGTAGCTGATATCTGCAAAGCCGCAGCATGATCACCTGTGTACTTTTTCCACACTCATCATCACGGGAGCCTTCTGATGATGCCAGCTCTGGTGTTACAGTCTCTGTTCAGATGATCCTTAGTCCCTCCATCTACAAGGGACCCTCCATCTACACCATACCCAAAACTCGAAATAGGATACACAATTTGTGCTATGAAGACCCGATTGAGCTTACCTCATTCTCAACCTCGGAACCGGGCCTGGCAAAGGAGCGTGACACCAGACGGCACCGAGCACCCCGGTCCTTTGACCCCAGTACTGGGCCCCACTCTGTCTCCAGTAGAGTCACTGACCTCTGCTCTACTCCCAGCCCAACCACTGGTAGCAGAGTCGGCACTGACACAGGCTCCCTGGGCAGCAACCACCCTGCCATGCAGCCCTCCAGCTGCTGGCACCTTAGTGGCAGGCAGACCAGCAGCACCCCACACATAGGAGCTGGAGATCGCCTGGCCTGACGTCCCCTGGCCACTACCATCACAACATCACCCTTGTCGACCTCTGAATATTCCACTGATTTGGAGGTGGAGTCTGCCTGGTCACTGCAGGACTCCAGATCAAGGTTGTGACACCGTTCTTACTCCTGCCACTTTTCCCAGCACCGGAGTACATCAGTGCAGCTGCAGCACCAACAGGAGCAACCTTGGCCACAGCCTACTCCTGTCCCACCAGCACAGCAGTACTGGCCACCGCAGTGGTAGGCCCCTGTATATAGTGGCTGTTTTGGACTCCCTGGGTCTATCATCACAGCCAGGATGTGGGCCCCTGTGGACTGGAGTCAGTCTACTCGGGGCCCAGGGCTCCTCCTTTGGTGACCCCAATGATTCATTCCCCCATGAGGGGGGGCAGGCTTCACCCAGAACTCCCGTCAAGAGGGCCACCCACACCTCAGCCTTCCACAGTGGCAGTCTTGGCAGCTTCTCAGGCCCCCTCGCAGCTCCATGACCTGGAGGTCACGGGCCTATAAGTGTCATCTTTTTCCTCGCCAGATAAAGCCCTTGTCAGGGCGCTGTCGCCTTCCATGCCCTCTATAGACTTGAGGCCGCACCAGGACCTCCTTCGTTGCCTGGCCCAGAATCTGGGACTCCAGGCAGAGGAGGTGTCAGAGGATTTGGACCCAACAGTCAATATCCTGGAGCCCGACACCCCCAGGAGTGGCCCTGTCCCTTAACAAGACCATGACAAAGATCACAAAGACCCTCTGGCAAACCCCAGCTTCCATCCCGCCAACTGATAAGAAGGTCAAGCGGAGGTACTTCGTGCCACAAGAGGGGAATGAGCATCTCTTCTCCCATCTCTTTCCCCCCACCCTCCTGGGTCCCTTGTGGTCCAGGCAGTGAACCAGCGGGAGAGGCAGGGACAGCCAGGCGCAATGCCCAAGAGCAGGGATGCTAAAAAGACAGACCTCTTGGGGGGGGAGGCCTGTGCTTCTGGGGGCTTGCAGCTCCATATAGTGACTCAGCAGGACTTGTAGATTCACTATGTGTACAACACCTGGGCTGCTATTGAAAAATCCACTGAACTTGTCCCACAGAATTCCCAGTCCGAGTTCAAGTCCCACTCGGAGGAGGGCAGGGTATTCTCCTAGGCGATGGAGGTGCCTCCTTATCTCCACACTGCCATTCAGCACCTCCCCTTCGAAGGGCCGTCCTTGTTCTCTGAGCAGACTGACCATCGTCTGCATGGC